AAATAAGAAATAATAAAACTCAATTAGTTTTACATCAACATCTATTTAATATCAATATCTGTGTATATCTGTAGTAAATGCCCTACTCCATCAGGGTTTTTCAAACAGGTATCTATCCAGCTACAACTCATTTTCACTTTACTATCAATGCCAAAACCTGGACACTAACTTGTAAACTATCAATGCCAAACCAATGGGCACGATCTCGTCAGCTATCGATGTCAACACGGACACTTGCTGGTAAACTATCAATGCCAAACCAATGGGCAGAATCTTCTCAGCTATTGATGTCAACCGGACACTAGCTTGTAAACTATCAATGCCAAACCAATGGGCACAATCTCCTCAACTCATTCGTTAAAACAAGGAACGATTACTCTCTCACCGTAATCAAAGCGGAGTCTACCAACTGAGTATATTTAGGTTCTAGATTAAAATTTAAGTTATAACAGAAAAAATAGGAAATTTGAAAGTTAGCTTCATTCTTTTTCTGTAGTGCAGTGGTGGTGCATATTCTAGTATATTCAATTTATTTTCTGACAGCCAAGATTCAACATTTAGAGATTTAAAAAAGATAATATTTTTCATAGAAAACAAAAACCTATTATTTTCTTGTTTTATGTCTAATGTCTAACACTAGTCAAATGTAGGTTTTTAAGGTAAATTCAATTGTACAAAAAAACCAAAAGATGGGAGTTATTCTATGACCAACTGGTAAGAGATTCATGAAGAGAACAAATTATTTGGTGTACAGCCTAAAATAAAAATTTAGCATTTTAGTTTTGCCCTTGTATTACCATATAAACACTAATTAGAAACAGAATAGCTATATTTATTTTCAACTGTTTACAATTAAATTCTCATGCTTGAACAACTAAATACTACTTTTTTAACTTGATTCCATGATCTTCATGATCTTCGTTAGAGGCATACCGATGATAAGTTTTTTTGAAGTTACAGTGAACAGCCTCGCTACATTGTTCTGAATAAACTCCCAAAGAAGTCTGTGTGTGGTCTAGAAAAGGCTGAACGTGATGAAGAAGTATATGACCTTTCCAGCCAAAGCGCATATTAGAGTTGAGATTGTTTTCCACATACATAGTCACATAGTTTAATTCATTAGAAAATTCCTCTATGGTAAGCTGGTACCCGTCCATCTGGTTCATGCCAAAACAGGCAAAAACTACTTGTTCAAATTTGAATAAAAGGCCAACAATTGGTAAATATTCTGGACAATTATCTGTAACAAAGATATTTAGGTCACCAAGTTTCTTCAGGACCATCTAGGCCGCCACCATTGTAGCCATGGAAACTAATACCATTTTACTTAAACCATTCTGATACAAGAGCTCCATTACAGAGAAGAAGAGAGCAAACTGTTCCAATTTTCATAAGTAAACGAAGCTCTGGTGGCAGAATCACATCTAAGACTAGTTTTTCTAGCGGTTCTTTAAGTAGACATGGTTGGATTACATTCTTAAATTGTTTCATATTTTTGTATCTGTGCCATTATACAATAGAGACAACTGTGCTTCCCTCCATGTGCGCTAATTCCTAGAATAATGTTGAGCAGCTTTAGATCGATCTGAGGCTATGTGAAATTTCAAATCGTTTAGATGAGTTTTTTTAAAAGTATACTCATATTGTGATGGGATTCCGGAATATCTTTTACAGCAGCGATTTATATAACTTTATTAACTTCAGTATCCTTTACTTTCTGGCTCTCCGTAGTTTCAGGTACAAAAATGGTCATAATAAGTTTCAGAGATCCACTGCACCTCCATCGATACCGACCCTTACTAATGCATCAACTGGATCTATTTTTCTCATTCCACTTATGCTGTTGGGCAAATTCAAGCCTGGGGATTCAACATCTTTTCATCATAGTCAGGATTAGAATACATTCGTATCATGGCAACCAACTTCTCCGCCTCCCCAGGTCTATTCAGATCTCTGCATTTCTGGTTCTTTATTCCACATGTGGCGCAAATAAAAATTCTGCACAATATGTGCGATTTTATTTGATAAGGCATGATAAATTACTTTCCAAAGATGTGTACTGGACACTGTGTACAGAATTATTCCGTAGATTTCCCCCAACATTTCGCGGATTTGTTCAAATTTAAAGTAACTTTTTCAGAGAAAATAACAGAAAAAAAACAGAAAATTTAATAAATTTAAATTCAAAATATATTTGGAGGCTGTACACCAAATAATTCGTTCACTTCATGAATCTCTTACCAGTTGGTCATAGAATAACTCCCATCTTTTGGTTTTTTTGTACAATTGAATTTACCTTAAAAACCTACATTTGACTAGTGCTAAAGAGAGATTGATGTTTTTAAAACTTTTCCATGAAATTTTTCAAATTAATTTAAATTTTGTATCAGGTATGCCGCGATATTGTTTAAGAAGCAGAGATATGTTTCTGGTCAATACAAAGTCAACCTCAAGATAGTTTGTAAGGTATGTTATTCTTTTTTATTATTAATCAAGATTTTTTGATTTTTCATTTAAAGAGATTGTTCCTGAATTAAGAAAGGGGATAATTTATAAAATTGTTCGTTCCTTCAATGAGTTTTTGACAAATAATTTCCAGCGGGCTCTAAAAAAAAATTGCCCACAATGAGACCCGCTACTATCTTAAATACTATTTATAGAAAAATCCTATCAACCTTTTAATAAAATTTTCCTAAATAAAACTTTCTTCTAACAAAAAAAAACAACTTGCGTGTAGCAAAAATAAGGCTCTTGTGATTAAAAACATTTATTCCTTTGAACAATTAATTTTCCTTCTAACCAAAAGCTGCTAAATAAAGGAAAAGTAACTTTTCTTACAAAACCTTTAATTAGTTAGCTTAAAGTTGAGAATAGAAACCACTGTTAAACATTTCTAATTCAAGATTTTATGTCAAATATCTTTAAATTAAAGATATCTTGTCAAATATTAAAGATCTTTAATTAAAGATATCACGTCAAATATTAAAGATCTTTTATTAAAGATTTCTTGTCAAATATTAAAAATCTTTAATTAAAGATATCCAGTCAAATATTAAAGATATTAAGTCAAATATAAGAGATATTAAGTCAAATATAAAAGATTTTTTATTTAAGATATCAGGTCATATACTGTAAAGATCTTTAATTCAAGATATCAAGTCAAATACTAAAGATATCAATATAATATTAAAGATCTTTAATATAAAGGTATCAAGTCTAATATTAAAGATATCAAATCAGAAATTCAAGATATTAGGTCAAATATTTAAAGATATCAAGTCAAATACTAAAGATCTTAAATTAAAGATATCAATTCAAAACAAATATAAAATGGACTGTCGAGGGAATTTCAAGTTCTCTTCGATTAAAAAGTTAAATACCTGATTTAAAACGTTATCCTTTAAAGGGACTGTAAAGGAAAAATGAAAGGGGTATAGGCTAAAACCTGATAATCTCATGAGTTGAACGATACATATAAGACAATCTATCTGATGTTCTTGTCTCAAGAAATTGACATAAAACTGTGTCAAAATTATACCAAAACGTATATATCTAAGATGTACGTTCGTACCACGTGACCAGAACTTTCTCCAATGGCAGTGCAGTATACTGGTCACGGGTTACAGACGGAGACACGTGACAATAATACTGCACTGCTATTGGTTGGAGTTCTGGTGACATGTTCCTGACGCATAAATAATATTATCAATTATATCTATTAAAAATAATAATATTAAATTCAAATAATAATAGGAGCACACTTAAGGTTCTCAGACTCCTCTGGGATATCGTTGTTTTCAGATTGGTTGCGTATTTATTGAATGTGATCTGTTTAATACTAAGAATCTTTTACCAAATCTTACATATATTTGTTATGGTATAATTTTGACACAGATTTATATCAAGTTCTGGAGAAAGGAACATCAGATAGAATTCTTATATGTCTCTATCAACTCCTGGGATTATCAGGTTTCAGCCTATACCCCCTTTCATTTTTTTCCTTTCCTATACAGTCCCTTTCAACATTTTTATAACAGGGATGGACATTTTTGCCTTTTTTCCTTATATATTACGTCAATATTAATTTTTTACGATTTCTAAAAGCCCACATCATAATAATAATTTATTCTTTAAAAAAATAATTAAAAATTTAGGAATAAAAAAATATTAAATCGAATTTAAGACTATTGACTTGCTTTCGTCAGTTTTATTTGAAAATAAAAATTTTAAAAAAAATGCCGCCAAATTTTTAAAATTTATTTTAATACTATAACCATGTACCCATGTCGATGATGTATAGGTTTAATTCCAGGAAAATTTTAAGTATGAAGTTCAAGAGAGATCCCCGGCAAACCAAGCCATTACCATGCAACAGCTTGCTGAGGAATACTGGAGGTAAACTGTAATAAAATATATTTCTCAAAATAATTGAAAATTTAAATATCAATGTTTGAACCTGGTAATGGCCGTTTAGGTGGATTATTTTTTGAGATGAAGGGAGGGGGGGATCTTTACTTGCCGAGTGATTTCAAGATCAGCTGTTAACCTGAAAAATATTAAGATAAACGAAATAATTGTAAATCTAAAAGTTCGTTCCACGATTCGCAATTGGAGGGCAATAAAGTCGCTAAAGCGAGGGACAAAAATATAATCTATAAAGTCGAGAACCTTCAAAATACAGAGAAAATCTAAGCCCATAAACCTTATCACTCATCGTGCCAAATTAATAGTGTTATACACTATAAAAAATGTCAAATTTTCATCGGGAAAAATGTTTATGAGAACCGGAGCCAAATTCAACTTATTGGCATCATTCGTCAAAATTTGTTGAATGAAATTTATCAATCCTCAACATTTGAAGAATCGAGTTACTAAATTGAATTTTGCTCCGGTGCCCCAACAAATTTTGTTAGATGAAAATTTGACATTTCTAAGAGTGCAAGTAATTTTATCAAATGTTTGTATATACTTGTCTTGATGCAAAGTATATTTTTAGATATAATTAGCCTCTTTACAAAGCAGTATTAAACATAAAACTCAATTTCAATTTTAATTTCCCTTAAATTGGAAAAAATCCAGAAATATAAAAAAATTTTGGAGAAAATCCGGGAATCTTAAAACTTTATGGCACCGTTATATAATTTAAAGCTATGTTAACTTTATATAGCATGATGGATACTTAATAGCACGTCTTTAATGAAATTTACTAAGTAGAGACCATGAGTAATAAAGTACACGTTGACAATAGTTTCATAAAAATATTAAGTAATCGAGTCGAAATGAGGAAAGAGAAAAATGTGGTCGCAAGAATAATTTTTTTACCGGACGGCTAAATTTATTCAATAAAATTTTTCCAGATTTATTTCATTTTTAGTCTATAGGGTGTCCCAAAAAACATGGGAATTCGGTGACGAATTCGATATCGTCTTTGTTATGAATTAGCATTGTAATACCTAATTTCGAAAGCCATAATAGTAATATTATTATGTCTGCTAGAGTTTATTTTATGAAAAGGGCAAAAAGACTGTAAAGATGTGTCTATAATGTGAACAGTGAAGACGGACAAGTTTACTCTGTTTGTATACTGCAATTTTCTTGTTTTACTCAGTACAACCCTATCCAGTCAAAACATAAACAAACAAAATGTGAAGCAGACTAAACTCTTACAGATTACAGCTTTCTCAGTAGGTATCACTATACTAAATCAAAGAGTTATTAAATAACGATATAGAGTTGGTTACTGAATTCCCATGTTCATTGGGACACCCTGTATATAATTTTTCTAATTTTCCAGGATTGACAAGTTTTTTCTGAAGAGTTTTCCGATTCTTTTCTTCATTTTCAACATTATCTACTGGCTTGCATTCATCCTGTAATCTTTCATTTATTCATCATTCAATCATTTTGTAAATATTCATTTATTCATTCATCTAACCAATGCATTCATTTTTAAAACCATATTCTGATCATTATTTTTTTATTCGATATTTTGAATTAATCTTTTATGATAATATTAAAACTTTCTGAGTAACATTTAAACTATGAAAACATTTCTTTTTTTGCTGATCACAATTTATCATTTTCAACCAAAGACGACGTTTTATGTGACTTAACCTAAATATTTCAATCATATATAAACCAAATCATATCAATCGTAGCCAACGAGTCTAGTTCAGTAACTTAATCAATCGTCAATGATTATTTTAATTGATGCCGATCAATACGAAATCTTATTCAAATGGTTCCAAGTTGGGATAAATTTTAATGTTTGCAAAGTTTTATTATTTTTGAATGTTCTTTTACATGTAAAAAGTATGCATTTCATAATAAATCACATATTCAAAATTAAAGAAAATGAGATTGCTGCTAAATTTTCTTCATGTTTTCAAAAACTAATGTAACAAATGTCGTTAATTAGCAACCAGATTTTGTGATATTTTCCATTGCTCTTTATCCGACTTTAAGGCATAATGTATAAAGTTTAGTATACAAATGGAATAAGATACTTTTACAAGAGCATTTAAATCAGAAAACCAGATAACAGGGCTGAGCGCTGCGGCTAGATCATAATTGAAGTTGCAACTTGTAAAAGTGTCTAAGCCATATTGCATTATGTTATACAGGGATAGCCAGTAAAGCACAAGACATCAAGGATAATTATTCAAAATTACATATTTAGCTTTTCCTAGTTATCCAATGTTTCTAATTGACTATAAGCCCTGTAGTGCGCCTGATTACACATTTTCTAGAAGAATTTACTTATTTCCTTTCATAAACCGAGAAGTATTTTATCACTAGCGCTTCCAGTGTAATATGAAAAATGGTTTCGGAAGAGTGAAAATGTAAAAATTCCATGTTTATTGGTACTCCCTGTATTTAGTGATATTTAAAAATAGTTGACCAAATATACAGGGTTATCTGCAACGATGAAATACAGCCTATAGTAGAATTCATCTAAACGTAAAGAAAAAATTAAACTTAATTAAAGATTTTTACGTTAATAACTGAATTTTTTGGATTTTAATGCCACGATGAATTTTATATATCATTTTACAAAATTTCATTATTTATCATAGCATTCGTTGCGGTGACCCTGTAATAGCTAAATCCTCGTTATTATTGTAAACTTTTATTTATAACTGTTCTCTAGTTTATTATTATCTTTATATCGTTGATTTCAATAAATAATAATTAATCGTCGTTATTTTACAAATACAGGGTGTCTCAGAAAAAGGCTAATTAGGGGTTTGCATTTAAGTCTATTTGGACTTAGATTTTTATCTTTCAATTCTAGAGGAGGATCTTGTTTATCACATTTTTGGAGAAAAGTCTTGTTTCTCTTATAAAAAGAGTTGACACTTAAATTTCATGACATAATACTATAATACATGGATTTGTAGTTAAAATCAGGGTAAGTTACTGTAAAAAAGTAAACAGAAACAGAATTGGGATTTACATGAAAAATTTCTCCCACAGTAGTTTTAACTCAAGTTTGTTAAACTGAGGGAGTTTATTTACCCCTGAAGTTAAATTTTGTTAATTTTTATATTCTTTGAATTGTCATGTTTAGTAGAACACACGGTAAGTTACCTTAAAATATTATTATTTTTATTATCCAAATCAATAGTTTCAAATCAATTATGAATTTCATTTATACAATTTACTTCCGTTACTTTCTGTTTCCTAATCTGACAGATTTTCCTTTATGTCAGGGGATATGGGGGCGGAGCTTAGTTTTAAGAAGGGAGGGGAGTCTAAAGGGTGCCGCATTTTCCCAAGATTTCAAGCTTCTAAATGATCCAGGATAATATCTCACTTACACATGTACAACAAAATAATCAAACATTCGATATTACATACAATTTTAAAGATTCGGTTTATGAAAATAATATTCATAATTGTCAATACTATGATGAAGATGAGATTAACAAAAAATTTAATAGTATTTCAACAGAGCAGTTTAGTATTTTGTCTTTGAATATCCAATCTCTCCCTGGAAAATTTAATGAGTTTCAAACATTTTTAGCCTCAACCATGGGAAAATTTAAACCATCTGTAATTGCTCTTCAGGAAATTTGGAATAAACCTGCAAATCTTTCATTTGATTTAACTGATTATCATCCACTTCATTTTACTGTAAGAGATAAACAGGGGCTAAATAGTAATGCAGGGGGAGGAGTAGGACTCTGGGTTGAGAAATCACCTTGTTTTGAACCGATTAATTCAATTTCTATCTTCTTACCTCGCGTTTTTGAATCACAATTTATTAAGATTAAAAATGGGAAGAATAAATATACAGTTGTAGGTAACATTTACAGGCCTAACACTGCTCCGTATGTAGACGTGAAATACTTTAATCAAACAATAAGAGAATTTTTTTTAAAAATTAGGTCTGATCCTACTTTAAAAAATTCGCAGGATGTAGTCTTAGTAGGAGATATGAATATTAACCTTCTAAAACATACATTGCATAGTGACACAGAGACTTATTTAGATACGCTTCTTGAGAATAGTTTTTTGCCTCTTATAACTCTTCCTACTAGAATAGGTCACAATTCAGCAACCATTTTAGATCATATTTGCACTAACATTGCCGATGATAGTTTTGATTCTGGAATTATTGTTTCAGATATTTCTGATCATTTTCCTGTTTTCTACATATATTCGACATTTTAAAGATAAATTCATAGAAAAAAAGTCCCAAAAGAAAACTCGAAAGTTTGACTCTGAGTCTATTTTTAAATTCAAAAAAACGTTAGAAGATAAAAATTGGGAACATGTTCTTCTGAATAGAGATCAGGACAGTGCATTTAATAATTTTTTGAGTCAATTAATAACTGTTTCGAATGTTCATTCCCTGAAAAAAAAATGTAAATCCTTCAAGGAAAAAATAGACCTTTTAACCCTTGGATGTCTAAAGCACTGATAATATCGAGAAAACGTAAAGCCAAATTGTTTAATAAAAATTTTATGAAACCCTGTCAGGAAACTAAATCTAGATTTAAAGAATATAATGCAGTGTATACTCGCCTTGTGAGGGCAGCACGAAAAAAATACTTTAATGATAAATTTCAAGAATATAGTAAAGATTGTAAACAAACATGGCTGACTATCAATAGTGTACTAGGAAGGGGACGTAAAACAATTAACATTCCTGATGCATTTGTGAGCAATGGAAAAGTTCTCTCAGGGGCCGTAAAAATATCAGAGGGTTTTAACAATTTTTTTGCTAATATAGGTCCTGATCTGGCAAAAACTATTAAGGGCACTAAAAAACAATTTTCTGACTTTTTGTCACAGGAAACAGATGAAAACTTTGTTTTTGCAAATATGACCCCTGATATTATAAATGATGCTCTTAAAAAACTAAAAAGTAAAAACAGTTCTGGACCAGACAAAATTTCAACAAATTTGCTAAAGTCTATCATACCAATTATCATGGGTCCTATCTGTCATTTATTTGATTTATCTTTCAAAACTGGGTTTATTCCTACCACTCTTAAAACTGCAAAAATCGTCCCAATCTTCAAGGCTGGGGAAACGGATAATTTTACAAATTATAGGCCCATAAGTTTGCTTTCTTCGTTTTCAAAACTTTAGAAAAAGTGGCAGCAAATCAAATTATGAAATATTTGAATAAATTTAAACTACTTTATGAACATCAGTATGGCTTCAGAGCCAAGCACAACACTACTCAATCCTTAATTCATTTCTTAGATAAAATATACAACGCACTAAATAAACCTGTATCCGAATATACTCTGGGAATTTTTATAGATTTCACTAAAGCTTTTGATACCTGTGATGTTGACATTCTACTGAGCAAGCTTGAACACTATGGATTTCGTGGGACTTCTAACTTATGGTTCAAAAATTATTTAAAGGGAAGAAAACAATTTACTTCAATCAGGGGTGTTGACTCTTCACTTAAAGAAATCTCTTGTGGTGTACCACAAGGGTCGATATTAGGACCAATTTTATTTCTAATTCTTATCAATGACCTTCCTAAAGCATCGAAATTTTTTACAATTCTTTTTGCCGATGATACAACACTGCAACTTTCTTCAAAAAGCTTACACTACTTATATGATTTGGCAAATTTTGAGCTCTCTAAAATAGAAGATTGGTTTAAAGCAAACAAACTGACTTTGAATGCGTCTAAAACCAAATATATTCTCTTCAAAAATAAAAAAGAAGATGTAAGTATCACCTCGCTTAAACTTCAAATAGATAATAAAGATATAGAAAGAGTAGGAACTGGATGCAAAAATGAATCTTTTAAGTTTGTAGGTGTTCATTTAGACGAAAATCTTAACTGGAACCATCATCTTAAGGCGGTTAAAAACAAAGCATCCAGTGCAGTTTTTGCTTTGTCAAGTGTAAAAAATATTCTTCCTAGTAATATTAAACTAACCATTTACAACTCATTATTTCGATCATTTATAGAATATGCAATTTCAGCCTGGGGATGTAACAAATGTTCAGAAATGAAACAAATTCACATTTTACAGAAACGAGCAATACGATTAATTGATAACTCAAAAGCCACGTCTCATAGTGATCCTCTTTTCCTTAAGTATAAGATTCTAAAGATTAATGATCTGGTAGACTTTAACCAAGCTATATTTATGTATAAATATACACATAAACTTCTTCCTGCATCTTTTGAAAATATTTTTAAAAAGCTTGGAAACTTTGAAAGATCTCTTAACTATCAACTTGACATTCTCAAAATGTGCTCATTACAGTATTTACCATCAAGCTCTCTTCTTAAGATGTGGAATAACCTGCCTCTTGACTTAAAAAGAAGCAACTCTCTAAGTATATTTAAAAATAGACTACTAAATTCTCTTTCTGAAAATTATAGGCCAATGTGTTATAAACCGAATTGCTATTCATGTAAAACTAATTATATATGTTTTAATATGCTTTGATATTTGTTGTGTACATGTCAGAAAATTACTTTTAACTCTTGTTATTCGAATTAATGTATAAACTATTTTGCATATGATAAATTTGCACCCTGATCTCTAATCGGTCACCTTATATCTATTTAATTGAAATATTTTGTTATTGTTACTAACATTAGGTGGAAAAATAATCAAAACAGCCAAGAGCTATTTTCCACCTAATTGCTTTATACTTGTACTGTTAATATAATCATGAATTTTGTGATTGTAAACTCTATCTGTATACAGATACATTTATTTTAGCAATAAACTTTATCTTATCTTATCTTATAAATAAAACTTTTATGAGAATTTTTATAAAAGTAAGATTAGAACTAGTTTAGGTAAATATTGAATACATGTTTTATTTTTCATCTAGTTCGACTAATATACATTTTACTAATTATAAATACAAAAATATATTTAAATGTAGGTTAAAAATATAGTTACTGTAAATGGAAGCATATTATATGATATCGATTTTTTAAAGATTAGAATTACATTTGAACCATGGAGATATTAAAATTAGATAAAAAATTAACAATATGCTACTACTGTACCCCATTAACTATACTGTACTGCACTGTACTGTACCGTAAAATGCTTGTTCATCTATATATATTGTACGGTACAATACTTGTACAAATAACAAAAGAGTACATTTACAATCGTTAAAAAGCTAGTTCCGATAAATAAATCTTCAAGTTAAAATATTTCAGAATATGAAGAAATGTAAACTACTGAAAACTAATTAATAGAATGAGCTCCCTCATTGCAATAGATCAGATCTTTATCATTATAAAAAGAAAAGAAATATTTTGACTTTCAACTATAAAATTAAATATAATAAAAACATGAAATTCAAGAGTATTTTCATCACAATTTAGCAAATAATATGAGAAAATACAAAAATAAATAAAAGGAGTTGTTTTGGAAATGTTCAACCCTGGTTAACGTTCTTCTTAAAACTGCAGATCTTAATTATCCCTGATAATATTAATATTTTTGGAAACTTCAGATGCAACAAAGATATAAGTATATAAAACCATAAAACAAATTTGAATTCAAAAATCTGTTGATTTTAACTAAACGAATTTTCCAAACTTTACATTTTAACTCTGCAAATAAAATATTTTTCCAAATCCATTTGTTTAAATTTTGTAAAAAAGCTAACATTTTGATGTGTTGATGCGTGCCAAAAATAAAGATCATTATTCCATTGCATTTTTATTTCTTTGAGCAATCTTTTAGGAGTGGAAGGCATATTAATAGTTTGCTTGTATAGAGATTATAAAATTATGCATTGTTCTTTTAACAATGTAAAGGTTGATTCTCAAGAGTTTAAAACTAACATATCAGACTATCATTTTGATCTTAAGTTAAAAAAATACTTCAAATTAAAATATGTAAATACTTTAAATGTTTAAATGTGGTTTTTATCCTTCATTAAATTTTACCATTTTGTTTCTTAGAAATATATCATTGTTATGTTATGATAAAAATAGTCTTACACTGGTATTAAATTTAAACCGGTTTTTGAGAAGGAATACAAACGGCAGCCGATACGGTGCAGGGTTCAGCCGATACGGTGCAGGGTTCAGCCGATACGGTGCAGGGTTCAGCCGATACGGTGCAGGGTTCAGCCGATACGGTGCAGGGTTCAGCCGATACAGTGCAGGGTTCAGCCGATACAGTGCAGGGCTCAGTTATCACTGTTGGTAGAGTTGGTATACGATTATAAAAGATGGAAAATCTATGAATCATCACTAAAAAGAGAACATCGCTAAACTTCATGTTGAAGAAAGATATGCTTGAAGTATTGAAGGAGAATGGGATTGTTTGCTCCGGGGATAGAATTAGATACGGGCAGATATTCTTCTATCTCAAGGAGAATTGAGTACCTTTACAATTGTTGGGGCCGGAGAATCTAATTCTCTAAAATGCACTTCAGGGGGCATTTCAGGGGATCTTAGGGAAAGATATAGGATAGGGACGGGTTAGGTCAGAAGCTTCCTTTAGGCCTGTAGGTGTCGTTGGCTTCGATTGGAAACCTACAGAATTTTTCAGGATAAATTCTTAATAATTTTCTTATTCTGTAATATTAATTCTTTAAATACATTAATTTAAAAATAGTGTTTAATGATAAATTAAAACCAAAAACAGTAAAAAGATTTACGGGTTTAGATTCCTTGTAAGGCCTTTTTCTGTTTATCTTGGAAAATAGCGCGTGAATGTATTGCATATTTGACCAATTCAGATCATCCTAGTGATAATTAATAATTAAAAAAAAACTTGTTACAATAAGTCTAATAAGGAGATAAATAGTCTCTTAAATAAAAATGAATTATGTAAAAGGCGACATTTATCCTGGTCCCTGATAAACTCAGCTTCGCAACCATAAGCTTGGGGAGTTAGTTTTATAAGAGTGTGCAGGGGAACCTAAACAAATATTTAAATAAAAAAATAAAAACATCTCTTACTAAAATGCATAAAGCATGAACATCGCATCGAAGAACAAGCGACAATTTTATTAACTCAAAGACGCTGTGAAATTTCAGTTTAAGTAATCATCATCTGATCAAACTGTTGAAAAATTATCTTTTTTTTCTTTGGCGAGACAGAACAGAAAGCCTTTAAGATTGAAAACTTGTTTAAATAATGAATAATGATTAATAATGAATATTGAAAAATATTAACCTTGATGTAGGGAAGTTCTTCTAGAGGTTTATCCAGGAAATATCCCAGGATACACCTTCAATTATATATATAAGATCTCTTTATGAATCATATTATTTATTTTGTTAAATATGAAGGTCACGGTGGGATGAAAAATAAATAACCTCAAAACTTCTTTGATGTTTTTCCAGGTTCAATTTTTTTTTTCTTCAAACCATCATGACAAACAAACCAAATGATATTATTCATATTAGAGAGAGGCATATTGCGGTGGTTTTGATCGTATCTATTTATGATCAAGGCGCATTTATCATCTAATTTTAAATTATGTTATTTATAAACCACCCGTATACAAAAAAAATACTTAAATACATCCGATTAAATTAAAGAACATAAAGTAATGCTATCTCGAGGCGATGACAGCAAGTGTCAAAAACCTTAAAATTGAGAAAGTCCAAAAACTGTGACGGGTTTCTGTGACAAACCCGAAGTCCTGGGACTGTCCCAGGCGTTTAGGTATCTGAGATTGAGAAATAAACTCCATGGTATTGGGACTCTAGGTCTTTGGGACAGTCCCGACTTCCCAGGCTATTGGGACAGTCCCAAAAACCCAGAGTCCCACATGTTTAAGGTTTGATTTTTCTTGAAACAGTTTGACTATAAATAAAACCCAATAGTGTCGGGACTCAAAGTCCCAAGACTTTTCCAGACTTCTGGTACTCTGCCAAAGACCCAACGATCCTGGGACTGTCCCAGGCTTTAGGGTCTCTGAGATTGCGAAAGAAATAATACCCCATGCTGTCGGGACCCTGGGTTTTTGGGACAGTCCCAGGCGTTCAGTTCCAAGAGTCCCGGGCTTCTGGGACAGTCCCTAATTCCTGGGACAGTCCCAAATTTAAAGATTTTGTACTTGCTGTCTAGATATGAATTTCTAAAACTTTCCTATTTCAGATTAGAGATTCAATTCCTTTCCCTATTTTCTGTCCGGATGAGTCAAGTTTGAAATATCAAAGTTTTTTTTTCAAAAAGGTTGTAAAGATATAGGTTTGAACAAATCATGGTCTTGGGTGAGTAATCAGTTTTGATCCATATTAACAACCAGAAGAATACCTGAGAACTGCTTGATGACCAACTAAAAGAACATTCCCTTGTCTTTCTAGTTCCATCATAACAGGTTCAAGCCTAGCCACTAGATCCTGGTAACTCTCTCCACTAGGATATCTATAGGTTAGTTTACACTGATCTCGAGCTTTAAACTCTTCTGGAAACTTCTCTTCAATTTCGTCATATGTCAGGTTCTCCATATCTCCAGCATCTATTTCATTCAGAGCTCTCCATCTCTCCTATAATAACAATAATGATAATAATAACCAGACAAACAACAGTCGGTGGAAAACAGTAATACCGTGACTTTTCAGGTCATTGCAGGTTATAAAACATAAATTAAGACCATGTAAAGTTCCACTATATTTAGACAAGTCAGTCATGTTCAAGGCCATGTTCAAGTTCAAGTTCAAGTTCAAGTTCAAGTTCAAGTTCAAGTTCAAGTTCAAGTTCAAGTTCAAGTTTAAGTTCAAGTTCAAGTTCAAGTTCAACTTCAAGGTCAAGTTCAAGGTCCATGTCCATGTCAATATCTACCTGTGGAGCTTGTATATGAGCTGCAGTCTGTATTGTCCTCTTTAACCAAGAAGTCCAAACTCTAAACAATTACGATCAACTTTATAAATTAGATAAAATGATTCGTCAAAATTGTTGCATGTAAAGATCACACTTCAGATAATAGTCTTGGAATACCTGAATCTTGGAATACCTGAGTCCTGGAATACTGAGTTCTGGAATACCTGAGTCCTGGAATACCTGAGTTCTGGAATACCTAAGTCCTGGAATACCTGAGGTCTGGAATACCTGAGTTCTGGAATACCTGAGTTCTGGAATACCTGAGTCCTAGAATACCTGAGTCCTGGAATAACATGTTGGTTGAAGAAGTAGGACAAAGCAAGGGAATAATGCTGACCACGAGATGTCAGGTCTGAATCTCCTCCAATCCTTAATTATAGCTTATATCAAATCGGAATTCCCTTTGGATCCTAAAATGGTTTTTATTTCAGGTTTGAATCCCATCCGATCCTTAAATATAGATTATATCAAATCGGAATCCGTTTCGATCCTTAAATATGTACTAATATGTACCCTCCAATTTTTAAATATAGATTTTATCAAATCTGAATTATTTCCAATCCTCATATATAGATTATATGAAATCTTAATCCAAATCTTAATCTCTATCATATCAGGTTTGAATTCATCCCTGAAATCCTTAAACATGCATTATATCAAATAATTCCATGAATTGGACAAATATTCAATGAATTGGACAAATATTCCATGAATTGGACAAATATTCCATGAATTGGACAAATATTCCATGAATTGGACAAATATTCCATGAATTGGACAAATATTCCATGAATTGGTGGACAATTATGCCATGAATTGGACAAATATTCCATGAATTGGACGAATATTCCATGAATTGGACAAATATTCCATGAATTGGACAAATATTCCATGAATTGGACAATTATGCCATGAATTGGACAAATATTCCATGAATTGGACGAATATTCCATGAATTGGACAAATAATTCCATAAATTGGACAAATAATTCCATGAATTGGACAAATAATTCCATGAATTGGACGAATATTCCATGAATTGGACGAATATTCAATGAATTGGACAAATATTCCATGAATTGGACAAATATTCCATGAATTGGACAAATAATTCCATGAATTGGACAAATATTCAATGAATTGGACAAATATTCCATGAATTGGACAATTATGCCATGAATTGGACAAATATTCCATGAATTGGACGAATATTCCATGAATTGGACAAATAATTCCATAAATTGGACAAATAATTCCATGAATTGGACAAATAATTCCATGAATTGGACGAATATTCCATGAATTGGACAAATATTACATGAATTGGACAAATATTTCATGAATTGGACAAAATGATATGTAGGAACAATCAATATGCTTTGACTAAGTGTCAAATTCCGAAAGAATCGCAAAGAATAAATCACCTGTTTGTAACATTGTACATAGATTCTCCATGTCTTGTTAGATAAATAGTTCTAGGGGTAATATGTACATTCATTATCCAGTAAACTATCTAAACAGAACAAAAACATTAAAAAATACGCCCTTTCATACCGACCATAATTCATTGCAGTAAGTTAAGAATTTTTAATTAAAAGTAGAGTACGTACATTGAAGTTATATTTATAATAATCTAAATGTTTATAAGATGTTTATAATACAGAAATATTCAGATAATATAATATCATAGTATTTACAAAATGTACTTATTCTTTGCAAGTTTAACTTTTGTAATTAAAAGAAGAGTACATAGAATTGAAGGCTTATAATATTGCATAAAAAAATATGTATCTAATATTTCTAGGATAATAATAATATCATAGTATTTACGAAATATTATTCTTTATTCCATATTTAGAATAACAAGATTTAACAAAATTTAAGTTAGGTTTGACAGAAAAAGATAAAATAAAATGTTATTTTATTTTTCTGTGTATAAAGGTATAAACTAACTCACCTTAGACTGTAAATATCCTTCATGTTTATGAATAACATATTTCTCCCCAGCATTGAATATCTTTATAAAGGCAAAATGGTTTTCAGAATCCTCAGAGATAGGTTCATAGATATCCTAAACACAAGGTTAAACAATAAGAATCAAGAAAATAAAATTACAGAAATACAAAAACCTGAAAAAACGTATTTTGTACATAAGTATGTCGTCTTCGTAGATTAAGTTTTAAAACTAAATTTTTGTTGTTGTAATGTGTATAAGCTTTAAGGGACAGAGTGGCTATGCAAGGTAGTTAAATTGAGTATGTACCGCCCAATGTTTGGGCGGTACAGTACAAACTGGGACTGGAAAGGTTAACCCGGCTCGAACATTCAAATGTACTACGGCTGCCCGTGCTATTTGCTACATACTGCATCATTTAAACACAATTGCGTAAATGTCTTTATTCTATTCCACAGTATAGTTTGTTGTCTCTATTGATAGTAAAAACATATATCTAACCTCATAATGTTTTATTCTCTCAAGGAAATCAGAGATGGCCTCCTCAGCATCAACTCCTGGATAACAAATCAAATATTCTTTTATTTACTCATTTTTGAATTCTTTTACTAATAATTTCTTTTATGCTTTAATCCAGCATTTTATCATTCATTTAACTCAACCATTCTTTAATTGGATAAATCTTTAAATCCACAATGCTTTAAAATTTACGAACCCGTTAATTTATCAATTTTTAATTTATTCCTTTCATTATCTTTTTAATTCAACAATTCTTAAATTTTCCAATTTAACAAATGAATTATTTTTCAACTTATTACTTACTTTATTCATCAAACCTTTCAATCATTGATGATTCTTTATTTTAGCAATTCATCAATTCCGATATTCTTTTATATCATCAATTCATTAATATTCATTCATTAACTAACCTATTCATTACTTCAATTACAACAATTCTTTATTCATCAATATTTTAAAACTAATCAATTCTTAATCTATGCATACTTTTAACTTTTGTTTATTAATAAAAGCAGTTAATAAATTTAGTTCATTTATTAATTGTTTCAGCCATCCTATCTACTATATATAAGTGTGTATGTACACTGTACAGTACAACCTGTGTACGTGTACTTTACCTTTCTAATCTGGAATGTGGACTTTACCTTTCTAATCTAGACTGTGTACTTTACCTTTATAATCTGGACTGTGTACTTTACCTTTCTAATCTTGACTGTGGACTTTACCTTTCTAATCTGGACTGTGTACTTTACCTTTATAATCTGGACTGTGTACTTTACCTTTATAATCTGGACTGTGTACTTTACCTTTCTAATCTGGACTGTGTACTTTACCTTTATAATCTGGACTGTGTACTTTACCTTTATAATCTGGACTGTGTACTTTACCTTTATAATCTGGACTGTGTACTTTAACTTCTCTCACGTTAGATTCCACAATATTATCAGAATTGCAAATACTTTCTAGAAAAATATTAATTAAATTAATTTAAAATAAACATTTGTTTCTTATGAAAAATCTTTAAACTAAGGAATGAAAAGAAACAACTTATTGCTGTTAAGATAAAATTGCATTTTCTAATCCTGCATCATTGTACAGAAAATTAAAAATGCGGCTTTCTAAGTTTCGACATATCACAGCAAATAGGCTGTTTATTTGGGAGGTTTAGAAGCAAAACAAGAAAATAAATCCTTATGACAAATTATAATAAAGATTATTAAACCCCACAGCTAAATCCCCAGAAAAAGGAAAAAGTAGCAATTTGATATAAAAAGAACTGTATCCGAATTTAATGAATTTGAGTTGTGTCTTAAATCCGCCCAAAACCGGTTTCAATTGAGCGCCGGGCCGCCGGCTTTAAACTTGAACAATGAATACGATATTAAGTGGAACCAACCATATTTGAGCCGCGGCTCATATTCTTTAAATTCGGCCTCTGATTAGGTTTTTATGAAAACTAACCAAGAAACATACACTTGAGTCCGTTCTGATTCACGATTTTATCATAAACTATCTTCCTCCGTTCTCTTGTAGTGTTCGTAGCATCAAATATTGCAACCTTCCCTCCTCCGTCCCGCAGGAAATCCATAGCATCCGTTAAAGCTGCCTAAATCAAACATAAAGTATCTGTTAAAGCTGCCAAGATCAAGCATAAAGTATCTGTTAAAGCTGCCTAGATCAAACATAAAGTATCTGTTAAAGCTGCCAAGATCAAGCATAAAGTATCCGTTAAAGCTGCCTAGATCAAACATACAGTATCTGTTAAAGCTGCCTAGATCAAGCATAAAGTATCCGTTAAAGCTGCCTAGATCAAGCATGAAGTATCTGTTGAAGCTGTCTAGATCAAACATAAAGTATCTGTTAAAGCTGCCTAGATCAAACATAAAGTATCTGTTAAAGCTGCCTAGATCAAGCATAAAGTATCCGTTAAAGCTGCCAAGATCAAACATAAATTATCTGTTAAAGCTGCCTAGATCAAGCATAAAGTATCTGTTAAAGCTGCCTAGATCAAACATAAAGTATCTGTTAAAGCTACCTAGATCAAACATAAAGTATCCGTTAAAGCTGCCTAAATCAAACATAAAGTATCTGTTAAAGCTGTCTAGATCAAGCATAAAGTATCTGTTAAAGCTGCCTAGATCAAACATAAAGTATCTAACCTCCATACAAGCCTCTCTAATGGCTGATGCTTCGGCATTGTTTGGATCGAAGAATGAATGTTTCGGTTTCTTAGCCATTTCCACATGTGCTTGTCTCCTGATAAATATAATATTAAAACTAAGCATTGTTAAAAAATTAGAGCTTTGATTTCCAGGAAAAGGATTCAGCCTCCAACGGAGGATAAGCNCCCCCCCCTATCTTGGACAGCTTTCTGCATTTGCATTACATGTATTTAAAATGGAAGCCTGGTAAAGGTATAATAATCCCAGAAATTACTGTATTTCAAAATATTTAAGTGATGACGACAAAATAAAAATTTTTAAAAAATTGACTTTTGCTTAGTTGAAAGATGTATATTCCTATAGTCTCCAGCATTGAATACTCTAGTGCTAACTCCGATCCAATTCAGGTACCTGGAGAAACCAACATCAAACCTTTAGATCAGTATTACGACGGAGGTTGCCAAATAAATTGAGTAAGGGGGATTTGGGGTTCAAATCATACTAAGATGTTACCAAATCTTTAAAATAAAAGTGTAGAAGAGTAAGACGAAAATTCAAAATTTTAATTGATGTTCATCTTAAAGAAAGAAATGGGGTTGTCAATGTACTTTGCAGCATTTCAATTATACATTGGAGTATTGAAAATTACATCTCTTCCGATTCCACGGTTGTATCATGTAAGGCCCCACAAAAAAATATAAACAATCATATCTTTTGATAACTTTTAACAGCATGGAAAAAGTTAATTTTAAAGCAATGTAATATTAATAGAAAAATATTAAAATTTTTTTTATGTCTTCCTTGTTAGTTTTTTAGCAATGTAAGTTTTCCCTCTAGCTGGTAACCCTACCATCACAATCACTTGACCAGGACCCCCTAAACACAAATAGTTTAAAGTTTTATGAATAATAAAAGTTGAAGAAAAAGAATTAAAAATCACTGCAAACTAGACAGAAGAAGCATATCAAATTTCTGCGACATCATCAATTCGTACCCTCGGAGCTTCTCTAGTTGTACGCACAACACGCACCCCTGACCCTTTAGTAAAAGTAAATTTAACCTAAAGTCTGACCCTTCAACATTGTTCCACCGGTTAGTCCTATTGAGTGTCTGCCTTATTTACCCAATGTCATGGCGATACAGTACAAACTGGTCCGGAAAGGTTGACCCGGCTAGGAAGTTCAAATGTACTACGGCTGCCCGTGACAAGTTTGAAAAAGCATAGGGTACATATTAGAAATGATTTTGAAAACATATTATATTTTAATCTTATGTGGAATTTACTTTAGTTTGACGTAAAACATCCTTAACTCCAATCTAGATTAAAAAGGTAAAAATTTTATTTTTACATCCGACCTATAAACAATTAATACAAGAAAAATAACCATCATTTTTATCTAAATTTGTATGTGTATACAGGGTGAGTCATACAATGTGTGATCAGCGTAGTCATTATCAAAACAATTAGTTTTTTTTCATATAATTCTTATTTTTTTTAGCAAAAAAATCCGCGAACCTTTATTCTTCTCAAAATCAAAAGTGAAGAAAAGAATAAATGTGTTAATCTATAGTTTCTATCTAATCCTAAAATTTCATAAAAATTAAACTCATGGAAATGGAGAAAATTCACAAAATTGTTTCAGGAAAATTCGCAATTTAGTTCAAGTGTGCCTGTCTAAGCAAGGCCATTAATAAATAGATCTAATAATTTGAGCGGTAAAAATTTCACCAAAAGAATGGAGGACATTTTTTATCAATGTGCAACTGTTAACTGTGTTACTTTTATATTCAACTGAACAATAAATTGGATCTATTTTATTAAAATGTCGGGGATTCTCAATTGGTCAGACCGATATTAATATAAAATTTTAGGATTGAATAACAATTATCTATTATCACAATTTTGATTTTCTTCCCTTTCAATTTTGATGGGGAAAAAAGTTTCGCGGATTTGCTTGTGGTACCATGTGAGTTTCAAATAAATGAAGACAATATTCCAAAATATTGCAAAAATACAAAAAATAAAAATTTCATGAAAAAAATTAGCTATGAAGAAGACGACGCTAATCACACTTTTTTTTTACTCACCCTGTATGCAAATTATCAAAACCACAAAATATTGAAAAAATAACTGCAACATAAAACTAAGTGAATTAATTCACCTTTAATATGGAAAAACATGTTCTGTTATACTAGATAAAAAATATAGCTTTATATATTAGCTATATATATATTAGTTAATCTTAAAATAATATGTTTCTATATCATGAAGCTAGCAGTAATAAATATGAAACTGAAATATATTTGAATATTTTAATGATTCTACATTTATAAACTATTGCGTATATGATTCAATGTTATTGAATTCGTTATTCTCAGAGGAGGGGCAGGGGGGGGCTACAGACAGGGCCCTGTAATAGGGGGAGGGCAACTTCGCGGTCGCCCCTACCTATGGGGGTGCATTGTATTAATAATAATGATATAACCATAGGCGCAACTAGGGGGGGGGCGGCCGGGCGCGCGCCCTCCCCTAGCACCTGAGAGGGGGGGGCGCCCCCCCCCCTGCAGAATGAAAAGAAAGAAAGAATGGCGAAAATCAGTATCACAGGACTCATTAGAATAATAA